GTCCTATTGGTTCTAACCGAGTTCCGTGTTCATACTTATATACCTTGCTTCAGAATTACTTGAGGCATTGCCGCAGCATTACAAGAGAGTCAAACAAACTCATTCCTAGAGGAGGCTGCGATAAAGATGGTAATAGAGGTTTGCGTGAGTCTCTCTTCATGATTTACATCCTATCTGATCCAAACATGTTATGAATGATTCAGTCAGAGAGCCTACTCTTATGTCTGTAGAAGGTGGAAACCCTCATCAACTCACTGCCTTCACTGGAGAAGTCACCAATGTGTTGCAAACATTTCTGCAAAGGCATTGGCAACTGAAGTAAGCTCATGTAAGTCAGACGAAGTACACAGATAAAATGATAGAGCTCTACCAGCAGTGAATGAGATATTTCCTCGAGCAAAAGGCTGATAAACATCATGCAAAAGCAAAAAGGTTGCGTCGAGGGGGAATCGAACCCCCGGCTCCCCGACGCTGCTTCATGGCAACGGAGAATTTTACCACTAAACCATCGACGCTTAGATGATGAACTCTGACTCGAAGTGAGTTGCTGGTTTGCAGCGAAGTCTGGGATTGTATTGCGACGATTTGAGGGTTGTGGGTTAGTTGTGGGGATGAGTGAGGGCTGAATGAGATCTCCAAGCCTCAGCGGGTCCGAGTCCCCGAAGCGGGGTCCCATCATCGGGCCGATGAAGGCGGAAAATGTTCAGGAAAGGCAGTGGAACGTAAGAAATGCACAGCTGAGTCTGGTCTGAAAGTCAGATTTGTTGCAAGGAGAGTTGAGAGTTGAGAGAGAGATCCGGTATAATTTCAGTTGAAGGGACTGGGTATGGTTGCTGCACGAAACGCAAAAGGCCGAGATCGACAATGCCTCTACGGTCAACGGCCGAACGACGGCACCGGAACGGCCATGCAGGGCTGATCAGTTGGCCCAAACGGCGCCATCCGTGTGCCGAGACTGGTTCAGCTTGTGGAGAATCAGTCATCCGCGGTGACACAACCCAAGCAAAATGCACGTTACAAAAGAAGGATGAGCAAACATCAAAGCGTAAACAGACAAAACAGAGAGTTCCGTCAACCGATGTGTGCGGGCATGAGGAAACGATGGGTGGAAACAGCTCTTCGACTCGTATTGCGTCAACACCAAGCATTGCTGTGTTCTTTGCCTGCAGCCAAGCAATCCGTAGTACGGTCAAACAGGAAGGTGAAGTGTAGTGCGCTATTCGCGCAAGCTTTTGGCAGCGAGTCTGGGGTTCTTCAGGTCTAGTGCAAATAGAGTGATGGAGAGAGGCAAGGGTGTTTGTCGACTAGTATGAGTGGGAAAACGGGGCAGAAGGAGTTCGTCAGGGAAAAGATTGGCATGTCAAGACTCAGAAGACGCATCGTAGACCGAATATGCGGAGTGACGAGTAGATCGCGGGTGGTCGTTGACTTAGACTCTTGGCTTGCTGAATCATGGGCGAATGAAGGTAAAGGGATTGGTGACGTCGCGGCGCATGTGAGCGAATTGGAGGGGTGGGAAGGGGAGAGAGGAGGGGGGGGGGGGTTACAGCAGGGCAGTCTTCTGAGGGTTGGATGGGCATGCAGTAGTTGAGTAGGTCAAGCCATGATTGGTGCGGGCTCTTTGCGAGGATTGAATACGTGCTTGTCCTGGGGAACAATAGACATTACCCAGAAGATGAGTTGGGAGGGCGAGGATGGGATGTTCGGACCAAACGATGCGAAGCGAGGCTGTTGGCTAATGTGAGACGGCGTGGCTAGGCATGAAGAGACGAAAAGGCTATTGGCGGGTACGGGGGAACAGGAGGACGGGCCTGGGGGATGGAGTGCCGCGAAAGTCTGGCGGACCGCGGAGGAGGAGGGCGGAGGGTGGTGGGAGAGTGAGAAATCGAGGCGGAACGTGGCATGCCCACCTCCCAAAGTACCTACTAACACAGTAAGGTAGCTTGAAGAGAGCGCGAGTGAGCAATCGATTGAGTGCAGGCCACTCCGGGAGAGGCCCGGCAGCCCCGGCGAGTGCGACGTCTCACTGGAGTTGTTGATGTTATGTATTTGGATTTTGCACAAATTGTTGAGAGATCCTAGACCAGCCGTAGTTAATGTGTTGTATTCAGGTTGATTGTCGCTAGTCAGGAGATAAGGTATTCCTGGAGTGCCGTCAGGGAGTAGAGTTTTCGTTTTCCTGGACCGGATACCAGCAGTTGTTATTGTCATGGATAGCGAGAGCGACTGCAATAACACGGGCGTTGATTGTCACCTTGTCATTCTCCGGCGGAGCAAGGGACGGGCAGAAAAAAAAAAGAAAGGAAGAAAAACATTGCGACGAGACCAGGGTCCAAATCTTCCTAGTGACAGTGGGAAGGAACCTGAAGGAAAAAACAATACTGTGGATTGGCTGGCTGAGGACCTGAAGACTGGAGTGGAAGTGTGGAATGGCAGTCGCAGTGGGAACCGTGCGGAAGTATCCCGGAAGTACCTTCAGTCTTGTGCCGACTGCACTTTCCTCACACAGAAACTTACAAAGACGAGGGAAGGAACGGGACGAATGTGGAGGAACTTCGGGATCCTTCCATTATTTCTTGCCTCACCTCACCTCACCTCACCTCAGATGTCACTACGTACCATTCTTCAACCTCACCAAGAAAGCACCACACTATCATCACCTCACTTGACGACCAGACGCTTCGAGAAATTCTGATTACATTTGACGTTATAGCAGTACTGTATGCAGGATTCAAGCTGCCGACAGATACAACATATCAACAACACAGCCATGACTCGAGCCAGCCTCTCCACGACAACCCGAAAAAAAAGTGGGCGGTGACGCCGCCTCCTCTGGGCGCCGAGCCTCCAAATGGAGTTGGCGATCTCGCGAACTGGCTTGGCCAGCAACCTCGCGGCACAAAATCACGCCGCCAATGCTTGGAGCCTTGGGAGACCCAATCCAAGTCGCACAAACTCACCAAGAACTGTCAAAATGGCACCAAAAAGACACCGGTCAAGCTTTTGCCAACGGTTCGTCAAGAGACTCCAAGAAGGACAAGACTCTGTAGGATTGACACAAGTAATGGACCCTTACAGATAGTCCATGGCAAATCGGTGCATACACCAGATCCGAAACCTGGGGTTTTCAACTACATGCGTTGCGAATGAGGGGTTACTGCAAGACGTATCGGTGAACTGATATCAAGTCAATCAACAAGCGACACCGTCCGTCGCTCAACCCGGCAGAAAGAGGCTCAAGTTTTCGACTCCGCCCAACGGCGCTTTATCTCATGTCATCCTAACCCTGTCTCTCCGTATGCGACTTTTTTCTGTGCGACAAAAGAGATTAACCGCCTCCCGGGGGTGATTACGACACCACGCGGCCAGTCATGGCAACAAGTCGGTCACTTTGGGTACATCCTTGTTTTGAGCCGCTTGGCATACATGGGCCATTCACCGTCTGGAACCGAGCACCGCTGACACTACACTATCATCTGTACCCTCGTCATTGGGCTCCTTTGTTATCCTCTTGGAGTTTCGAACTTCCTCTCAGTTGCCCCCAGCGCATCATGGCGCTGCAATGTGTGAGAAGTATGCGTGTCGCATTCCCATCGGTCCCGAGTGCCGGTCACCAAAACAATGGAAGACGCGGATTTCAGAACAAGGTGCTTTGCACACAGAGAAGGATCTGGCCCGTTGCAGTGGAACGTGGCTCTGGGCAGCATGTCTCACACGACGTGCTCCCTAGTCCCTATCGTATCGCATCGCATCCGAGGGCGTGTGCGTGCTACTTGAAAAGCTGGGACAAGACTAGCCCGTAATCAGGCATGGTTCATCCGCAGGGCGTCTAGTGTAGATGAGCAGACATCAAGAACCTACGTAGTACGCAACCTGATCAACCCTGCCAGACGAACCCAAATCTGAGGCGCGATATCGGTAGAGCCAGTGAGCCACCACTGAGGGAACCTTATTCCGCGGATTCGCATCCCCTACAAGCTGATGAATGTCTGTCTTTGAACTTTATAGACGTAGCAAGTCAAGTGCGGGCAGAATACAGCCGGAAGACGGCACCGGCACCGTTCGAGTGATGGATTGGCAAGGTTTACTCTGTACGGCAAGCCGCAATGGAAGGACGACGACTATCCCGTCGGTACTTTCGAGGTACCAGACAATAGACACCAACGTAAGCAAACCCCCCCCCCAAAGCCATGCCGCCATGCGCCTCCCACCGACGGCGGACAGCAAGAACCACTGGGAACGCAGCCCGGGAAAAAAGAGCAGAAAATGGTTCTTTCTCTCCCACTTGCGGCTTACCTTCCAGGTACCTAGGTATTGCCCCCCAGGCTTGCCAGGTCCACGCCCCAGTGGTACCCCCCACCAACTGGCGCTAAGCGGGGCCTGGCTTTTTTTCTTGCATGGATCATCCTCTGCTATCAGTACGCCAACATCTTGGCTGTCTTTTCCCTGCGACATACTTAGGTTCCATGAACCCCGAAGCTTTTCCTAGTTTCTGTCGCTCTTTTTGTTCATGTAAACCCACCCTCGAGGTCTATCGATACTGACCCGAGATTTCGTCGAAATTGTTCCCAGGTCGTCCATTGTCGCGACATCTTCAACCAGAAGTCGCAATACCGAACGAGGCGCACAAGAAGCCGATCAACGCGCACCAAGAGGCAACACCCGCTTGGTGACCTCATAGCTCCTAGACTTTGTATCCGCTCCTCTCATTTTCCTCGACTCGACTCGATTCGACACCACCCGATCCTTTCCTTACCTTAGGCCCATCTGCCTCTTGGCACGCCGACTTTTTCCTCGAATGCATCGAGCCATCCTCGCTCTCGGGACGCAATCCATTGACTGGGGAGTTTCGCGCCCTTCGCCAGGCCCAGCTTACATTCCCTTTGCTGCCGGCGGTTGAGCGACCCCAAGTAACACGGCTTGCGACGAATTCCTAGTATTCTACCAACGCCAACCGAATAAACACCCACACATAGAGATAACCTCCCAATTCCGCCACCATGGCGTGGGATCACCTCTCAATCACGAAGCCGCACTTGGTGTACATCATCTTGGGCGGCTTCACCACACTTTTCATGCTGTGCTCCTCTATCATCAAGGAGAAGATGTACATTGGTGAAGCTACCGTTGCCACCATCTGTGGTATTATCTTTGGCCCCCACGCCGCCAATCTGATCGACCCGAAAAGTTGGGGAAATGTCGACTTGGTTACCATCGAATTCTCCCGCATTGTTCTCGTCGTCCAATGTTTCGCCGTCGGTGTCGAATTGCCAAAGTTCTACATGGAGAAGCACTGGAGATCCGTCACTCTTCTGCTGATCCCCGTCATGATGTTTGGCTGGCTCATTGTGAGTCTCTTCATCTGGTGGCTCATTGACCCGTTATCTTGGCTCGAGAGTTTGGTCATTGCCGCCTGTGTCACTGCTACCGATCCTGTCTTGGCCTCTTCCGTCGTCGGTAAGGGCAAATTCGCCAAGCGAGTTCCCAAGCATTTGCGAGATCTTTTGTCGGCAGAGTCCGGCTGCAACGACGGCATGGCCTTCCCTTTCGTCTACCTCGGAATCTACCTGATCCAGGAGCACATGGATGCCCGGAAAACGACATTTCACTGGATTGTCTACACGATTCTCTATGAGTGCATCTTTGGCGCCATTTTCGGCTTCCTCGTTGGCTACATCGCACGTCACGGCATCAAGTTTGCAGAGGAGCGCGATCTGATTGATCGGGAGAGTTTCCTGGTCTTCTACTTCGTGCTCGCTTTGTTCTGTGCCGGTGCTGGTAGTCTGCTCGGTATGGACGATCTACTAGTCGGCTTCGCTGCCGGTGTAGGTTTCTCAAACGACGGTTGGTTCTCCTCAAAGACGGAAGAATCTCACGTGTCCAACGTCATCGATTTATTGATCAATTTGGCATATTTCGTCTTCCTCGGAACCATCATCCCCTGGGAACAGTACAACAACGTCGCTGAGGGTATCACCCCCTGGCGCTTGGTTGTAATCGCCATTTTCGTCATCTTGTTCCGACGCATTCCCGCCATGCTTATCTTGAAGCCATTCATACCGGACATCAAAACTTGGCGTGAGGCAGTTTTCGCTGGTCACTTTGGTCCCATCGGCGTCGGTGCCATTTTCGTCGCCATTCTAGCTCGCGCTGAGTTGCAGTGGGAGACGCCCGTGCCGCTTTCCGACACCCCGCCGGAAGATATTGAACACAGAACACTCGTTGCGGTCATCTGGCCCATCGTGACATTCCTAGTCATTTCGTCCATCATTGTTCATGGCTCATCCGTTGCCGTGTTTACTCTCGGCAAGCGCATCAACACGTTGACAATCACCATGTCCTACACCACCGCCCCCGAAGACGGCCCTACCTGGATGAACCGCCTGCCGAGAATCTCGTCGCAATCTCGATCGCAAGCCCGAACCATGTCCGACACCGAAGGAGAAGAGCTCAAGATGCCCGAGTTCCCGCCCGGCACTCTACCCCCAGTAGGCTTCCCTGGCGCTTTCTTGAGACGTCAAAAAGACGAAGACGGAACGAAGTCTCGCGCTCGATCAACCTCAAGGAAACGCAGCAGCAAGAAGAACAAGTGGGACGATGGCATCGGGCCCGGCGGACCTGTTTCTCAATCCGCCATCTTCCCCACTAAACGCGAGCCGCTCCTCAACGAGAAGGACCCTCAATCACCCGACGCCGAAGGCACTACGACCCCTAGGCGCGATTCTGAAAGAGGTCGCGCGAGGGACCCGGAGAAGGACGACGACGAGATCACACCATCCCCCGATGAGGGATCTAGCAGAACGCAAACGCCACCCAAGATTTCCATCTACGAGGAAGGAGACAACTTGGTGGTCGAGAATGAGGATGGAGACGTGCTGACTGTCGAGCGCTCTGAAAGTAGAGCAGAGGCAGTTGCGGATGCTGAAGCTCATCATCGCGTACCAGTCGAAACCGACATGTCGGCTATTGCGGCTGCCCATTCAAAGCAAGGTGAAAAGTTCAACTGGACCCTGGATTCGTTCAAAAAGAAGGTCGGGGATGTGTACACGTCAGAAGTGGAGAAGCGCAAGGAGAAGAGCAAAGCCGATAGACGGCATGAGCCAGCTCGAGCCTTCCAGTTCGGCAATACCGTGAGTTTCTCCAGATTGGTGATGGACGAGAAAAGAAACTAACAAGTACATAGATTATTGTCGAAGATGAAGATGGAGAAGTTATCAAGACTTACGAATTGCCATCGTCAAAGGCTCCCAAGGAACCTGGAACAGGCCTAACCCAGCAAAGTCTTAAGTACCTTGGCATGGGAGGTCTTCTAAAAGCATCGGAGAAGCCTGCGGCTGAAGACGAAAACAACGGAGAGTCAAGCGCCGACGGCACGGCGAAGACACCTGCAAAGTCAGGATGGCAGAAATACCTGGGCGGAGGTGCCGGCAACGCGAAGAACGCTGCAGAAGGTCAAAAGGAGGATGACCGACACATCAGATTTACGATTGGTGGAGTTGGCCAGCGCATGACAAAGGAGGACTTCATTCGTGAAGTTCAAAAGCTCGACGACAAGACCCGGCGACAGGTTGTGGACCAGTCCACTGCTTCTCAGCGCGTAAAGTCAATTGCAAAGGGAGATATTCCTTCGCCGGCTGACAGACATGCCAACATTCCGACCATCAAGATTGGAAGCGATTCCAACGAGAAACGTTCTGGCTCTTTCACGCCTCAGCGGGTGAACACGGCGCCAGCCTTGCCACCGGCACCCGCGCAACAAGCAGACGCCGAGGGTGACGAGGAGACGGCTGCTGAGAAGAAGCGCAGACTGGCGGTTCTGTCGAACCAGAGCGAGGAGGATTTGGACAGCGGAGAGACGCCTGCTGAGAGACGCCGTAGGGAGGCTGCGCTCGGCTCAAATCAGGATGATGATTCAGATGACGAAGGTGGAGAGAGAGTTCCCCCGACGAGGAGAGGCATCCGATTTGCAGAGAGCACGGTGCCGAGAGGACGCAAGTAGACGAGAGAGTGATGAGGACGGCATAGACTGTGAAAGCAGCATAGCATTGCATTGGGTGTGGTTATATGCATCATGACAGCGATACCTGCATGGGTTTTGACATGCTCGGACGGAAACGAGCAAAAGAGACGTCTTACTGAACGGCCGAGGTTTGTGGTAATTGTATTGTCTATTCTGTGCACATACTTGAGGGGAATGAATATGGCCTTTCTGTAGATTTCAATTTTATCTCTAGATGAACATTGTATGCTTGATAAGTGAATGATGAGCAAGAAGCGATTAAAGGTGACGAGGTGGGGCTTATAGGTATAGAAGCGGTATTTGGTGACAAACGCACAACATTGTGGACACATCGGCTGATACTTCAGCCGGAAACTCCATGGCATTTTTTTCTTACGAGACTGCGATGAACCCAGCCCGACGTTTGGCCAGAGCCCGAGAGCGCAAAATCCGAAGAGTAGACGCTGACGTCATGTTCCCGGAGTAAGGACCGAAAATTTCCCTCGTCTCGGGGGGCCGTGGTCGTCTGCCGATGTGGGGCGGAGGCGCAGCCGGGGTGTGGCGGGGTTGGTGGGGCCCGAGGCGGTCGCTCCGTGGCGGGGGTGGGGTGGACGGGAAGGGGGAAGCTCTCAGTATTTAAATCCGTGGTTTCGTGAGGTTCGGTGATGACACAAAGTCCTGCATGACGAACAGCTCAGGGTCGCTCTCGTCGTCGGCAGGATCAGGATTCATCGGGGCCATTGGGGCGTTCGGCATTGGAAGTGTAGAGATTGAGGTGGTAGAGGATGTGCTAGCTAGGGGTGAGTTCATTGGGTTGATTTGCTTTTGATTGTCCTGAGTTACTGTGGGGACGAATACTTGACAGAGGAACGAGAATGAGAATCGGTCTATAGTAGTCCGCTACCTTAAAGAATTATCATAAATTGCTATTATAACGAATACGCTACGAACAAATAAGAAAAGAACGAGAAGGAGAATAGGAAGGAGCCTGGGAAGAACAATGATAAAGAGAACGGGAAAGAGACTAGGAAAGGGAACAAAGGCCAGTCTATAGTACTCGATTTCTTTCCGTGATCGAGAATTGCTATTGGAACGAATACGTGATGAACGAACGAGAATGAGCAACGGTCTATACCGTATGTAATTTATGCCTTCGTTGGGCTTTTCTTAGTTTCTCTGAGCGGGCAATGTGAGGCCAGGGAGATGTGCTCCCCGGTGAATTTTCACAAAGAAGGAAGCCCCGCACAGAAACCTTCACCGCCTCCATCGGGGTTCTCTGTCCTGTTGGTTTAGCTATCCATTTCGAATTGATTCGAGCTCTATGTATACGAGCTCTATGTATAGTTGGGTTCGGTACAATGATGCTGAGCCTCACTCATCAGATATCAAGAAACATATCAGGCCAAAGAACAACGTTTGGGTAGGAGCTGATGGTTGTACGGTCGATGCTACAGAGGAGAATAAGTTTCGCTTGCATCTTGGCTAACATGCTTTCTCGAATTGAAACCTCACAACTTCACCAGCATCTGGTACAAGCTTGGAATGGATGTCCGGTTGCTTCGATGCCGATGAACTTGGCGATGATCCCTGGGCTTTCCTCCCAAACAATAGCAGCATGATGACTAACTGTAGGATGCAAACACTCTCCAAACCTGGGTCTCTGACAGTATACTTAACGCCTGACGATACGGCAAACCAAGGCAGTCTCAGGTTGACGTGACACCAGCAACCAAACTTCCGAGCCCCCGACCGAAACGATCAATCAATCTTCTGGCATACCGTAGTTATATCCTAATCACTACGAAGTCTTGCTTGTTAATGCGCGTTGTTACATGGGAGTCCTACTTTGTTGTGAATCACTGGCTATTGATTTCCTGAGATATCATGATACAAAAGAGGATCTTTAGCCTACCTACCTAATGATTATGCCTCCGTAAATCAAGCACTATAGTTCTGACTGATTCCCGAGATACTGAACGAGACCGAATTCTCTACACGCCTTCATCAAACCGGCCAAACAGAGGCACGATGTATACCCACCGCCGCAACCGTCACCCTCAACTCTCGTCTCCAGCCCGCAGCCCATTCCCACCGTTGCAGGGCTCACCCTTCTTTGGCAACATACCTCATCCTTCAAACTCCCACTATGAGGAACAAGAGACGTTCGAAGATCCTCGATGCGATTACCTGGGCTACGCAGCGCCAAGATATGACGGAGACAACAGCGATGACGAACACAGTTACAGCACGCAGTCATACATCCACTGGCCTCCCAGCCCCTCGTACTGGGAGATCACACAACGCGCTCGTCTCCCAGCCCATTATCTACCCTCTCCATGGAGAGACGCCCATAGGTCCAGACTACGCCCCGAGAGAGAAGAACCAACAGAGACGTCATTCGATATCATCCCAAGCATCGAGGACGACGAGCAGCCCTCGCCAGTCTTCCCCGAAACCCAGTGGGTAAGTGACTCGTCCTGGACGTCCATACCGACTCCCGCATCCGAAACATTCACATCACAATCCCCTTCCTTCAGCGACGACTCCATAACCCCGGAACTCCATCACCACCACCACCCCCGGAACCACATCCCCGACTACGTCCGCTCAACACCCGGATCATCCCCCCTCACCTCTCCATTCCTATCCTCATCTTCAGAGGACATGAACGACCGCAGCGCAACAGCTCGACCCCCGACGCCACCCCGGCGCCGACAACACGCTCCGTCTCCGTCACCACCTCCGCCCTCAGTACACGCTCATCTACCCGCCTTGCCGTTCCGCCTCAGTCGTCAGGCGGGCAACCCGCACCTTCGGGCCAGGATACTGACCCCTCCCGCTTTACAGGCCTCGCGGGCTGATACGTGTGATACCCCGTGGCAGCCTCAGCGGTGTCGTTGCGGGGAGTGTTTCTGTAGGAACCTGGTGGATCGGAATGGCGGGGTGGTGGTGGTTGATGCGGGGAGGTTTTGTGCGTTTTGTCGCGAGAACCACTGCTGGTTTTGAGATCGTGGAATGGATCCGATACGGTGCGATCGATGCTAGTTATTTCAAACTGCAGAAAAAATTGGTGTAGGGATTGAAGGAACTTGAGTTGATTGTAGTCCAGGAGGATGATGTTGGTTGAGGAGGTGAAGCAAGTTTCTACCACGTTTGGAGGGAAGAGCCAAAAGCCATGCTGTTTCAACTTATTCAGTTCACGTCCCCTTATCCAGTCTCTCTCGCCGGTACATTCAACCTATGGCAAGTTAGTACACGGGGGAGTTGTTAATCATCAGCAATGCAATGCTCAGCGGAAGGGGTGGTCGACCTCAAGTCATTTCGCCTTCTACCAAACGCTTCCATACCATTGGCGTTTGAATAATCACTATAGAAGTGTGGCGGTGATATCATGAAATTAATTCGATATTAAGGTATTTTATACAATGCCGTCGTCTTTCCTATTACCGCCCGCTGAGAACGTAGATCGCATGCTTTCTCGATAGCTCTTACTCCTCGTTGCTTTTGGCCTCTCAACTCCATTCACCTCGACCGTAAAGTATGCGTCTCGGCCTTCGATATTGCTGTCTGTACTCGATGTATCTTTCTCACTAGCCCTTTTCGATTCCTTGATATGTATCTCCACATTCTTGCTGATGCCTCCCGGCAAAGGTGGCGACTTATTCAGGTGCTCCTCGCTCCCGGACATCGTAAACTCTGTAATCGGATACTGCGTGTATGGTGGCCGGTTCTTCTTCTTATTACTGCTGCCCTCAGTCACACTTCCAAGCATGATGCTTCCGGGCGCCGGTAGGTCGGAACGGTTAGGCTTGTCGTACTTGTTGTTGGTGCCACCTCGTGATAGGGTACTCGATATGGAGCCGAAGATGGGTGTAAGCCAGCGTCGAAGTAGGGGGAAGATCATTGGGATGTTGGTGGTGACAATTGCGACAAAGGTCTCGCGGACGGCCCACGAACCTGCCTGCTGCGCTCCTGTGACAGGGTTCTGCGATGCGCACAAGTCAGCCATCGAGTCTCGTATGTATCACATGAGGATCGGCCTACCGTGATGATGAGCACACAGCGTAGGATACCAGCCATAGTTACAAAGATACCTCCCGAGAACAGGACAATGAGGCCGAGCTTCTGTCTCAGGGGTAGCCTGGCGCTCCACAGCATCGGTATCGGTATGCTTAGCAGGTAGAAGTCCGTGATGACATTGAGACAGACGGTGACGATGATGTTGACTTTTGAAATGGCCGGCTGGCAAAAGTCTGGCTGCCCTTTAGTCATTGATATATGAGAGAGTTATGCGGTACTTACTGCCAGGGTCTGGGTAGATTTGCCAATTTTTGCTTATCGGAAAGCAGCTGAAGGTGATGGAAAACAATACTGCCAGCCATGTTATCGCGATCAGAACGAAACCCGCGATGATCCGCTTGCGAAAGTTATGCAATCCCTCCTGAGCGACTCGTCAGCTTGAAAGCGCATGATTGATTTCTTACGGGCTCCATACTGTTAGGCGCAGGTAAAACGTGCACATTGCAGCCTTGGCAGGCCAGAGGACGAGGCAGCTGTAAGTAATCCATCCCGCGATTTGTGTCTTCGATCCGTTGACCCTGCGAGTATGATGTTAGACCATTGCCTCAAAACATAGCATTATCCATCGCCCTACCTTGTCGAATATTCTTCGCTGTTTGGGTCCAACGTTCTCCGCTCCTCATCCGTCATGCCATTGTTGGCGAGTCCCTTCCAATGCGCTCCGACGCTGTACGCCAAAGCAGTCTCGGCGGAGTACGTGAACTATGCATTCCAGTCAGTATCTCATACTCATACCGGTCAACAGCTATCGAGAGACTTACAATGATAAATAGCATGAGATAGTCATCTGCCTGCAGACGCTTGAAGCCAACAGCGGCAATTCGCGCATAGGTCCTCAAGAAGATGACGGCGATGGCTACGCCAAGAAGCGCGAAAGCTTCTGTCGAGAATTCGGACATGTCGTTGGGATCATGTCAACC